GGGACGCGACCGCACGTCGAAGCGCGACCGGAAAGACGCGCGCCAGGCCGAGGGACGGGCGAAAAACGGAACCACCCCCGGGGCCCGTAGCAACCCCCCTGGGGGTGGGAACGGGAAAACCCGCGGGGGGAACGGAGACCCGGCCGCGAGGGGTCCGCCGAACGAACATCAAGGGCGCGGGACGCGCTGGGACGGCGTGGCGGGGACCGATGTTCTGGGGGTCGCGGGGTAAATCGTATAACTTTATATAAGAGAAAGATTAATATAATTATTATTATCTTCTGAAGTGCTTCATCTCGCCGCACTCTTCCGCAACATATTATTATTATAGTTCATTTGACTACTATACACCAGCGTGTGCCGGGTTGGTTCAAACTCTCACACAGGGGCGAACAATGCTCCTAAGTATGAAGGCCGTTATTAGTTTGGATGGTCGGTTGGTGGTTTAATTATTACTGAATGTCAGACCATATTGTTTATAGAACTTTGTTATAGATTAGATTTTGTAGCATTACTTGCTTCTACATTGCATTAAAAATAATGGGTACGTTTCTTCACCACGTCACGATACTAATCTTTGAAGAAGTTTTTTGTTCATTTTACCTTAGTTTTATTATATTTTTTTTCCTTTTTCTTTGCTATTCGAATTCTTTTTGTTTTTTTAATTTTCTTTGTTTTTTGGTTTTTTTATGTTTTTAAAAAAAAGTTTTCTTTTGTTTTTTGTTTTTTCACATTCTTTTACGGATTTTTAAATCTTTTTTAATTTTTTCTTCTCCATTTTCCCTCATTTTTTTAAATTTCTGAAAGTCTGACTATTTGATTGAAATAATGCTACAAAACCTAATCTATAACAAAGTTCTATAAATTATATGGTCAAACATACAGTAATAATTAAATAAATTTAGCACATAAATTTTTCCGGGATCTGAACTCTTCAGGGGACCAACAGTTTACTTCATTTTTAAAAAAATTTGACAGAGGATCTTAATTTATCCACTAATTCCCCCGTTTTGGACCACTGTGCGATAAAAATTTGTAAAGCTGAACACAATTTAATGCATTGAGGACCGATAAGAACATTTTTGGCCATGAACATTGCAGGAGACCGACAATTTTACTTCCATTTTTTGAAAGTTTGACAAGGCGTCCTGATTTGCCCACAATGTCTCCCCATTTTGGACCACTGTGCGACCGAAATTTTTGAAACTGAACACAGCTATCTGCACGGGGACCCAATTAAGAACATTTACAGCCAAAATCCATCAAAGGTGTAACTTTTTCGTCCATTTATCCCGTCTTCTTGCTGTAAAAATGACGTCAAGAATGATGGCGATTTGGCAACTTTGCCCCCCCCCCCCCAACCATTTCTCAAAAACCATGCGTACACTCAAGCTAAAATTTTCACAAGAGTTTTAGGGTATTGTAAGGTATCGTTTGGTCTCGGTTTCAGAAAAATCCCTGCGGACCCAAACTCAGCCAAAAAACGATTGTTTTAGGGGTCGTTCTTTCGTAAAAGGCCAAAAAGCTCATTAAAAAGTTCAAAAACACATTTCTGAGGGAAGAAACAGCTTATTGAAATCAGCTATGTGAATTGATTTTCAATCTTCCTCATAACTCACACTGCCGCCCGATCTTTGCTAATTATAAATTTTTCATCCTAACCTCCTTTCGGATTGCTAAAATTTGTCATCTCCAACAGACTTATTTCGCCTTCTGACCCCCTACCGAATCATCATTACAATAGTAGGCATTAGAACATCCCAAGTAAAAGAATCCGATTAAAGCGCACTGACAATAAGCGAGATGTCAAATTTTCGGCAATACAGATTTTTAACGCTCTACCCTGGAGCATAAAGCAACACTCATGTAGTGCTGACTTCACGTCTTTCTTCAGGGGGCTGCGTGCTTTCCTAATCGAAGGTGCGCTCTAAGACCTCCAGGACCTCAGAGGCTTATGTAAATTTAAAATCCAAATAATTTACAACACCATGACAAGTACCATAGTTCAGAAGCTCATTTTGTACAACTTATAAAATAAATAAATAAATAGCTTTTACACAGTTGGCCCATGAAATAAAAAAGTTGACATTTTTCACGGAATTATTATTATTATTTTTTTTTTAAATTAAGACTGTAATGCATTTTTTTGTGATAGATGGCATTCCTCTTTTGTGACGTGTAAAATGTAGCTTTTCCGAAATGCATAAAACTTAAAATAAATATTTCTTAAAAAGTCTTTAGAATTGGAGCCTAGTATTTTTCGAAAGTTCATTGTTTTGTGGTCAGGATAAGAATAACAATCAACACCAAAATCCGAGACAATGGCATGCGCAACTGGAAAAATCGGTAAATAGTCACCTGGCACCCTTTCAAGGGCCAGAAAGTGTCCTTCTGCCCCGCCCCCATACAAGAAGTTCCTACTTCCACCCATAAAAAAAAAAAAAAAAAAAAAAAAAAAAAAAAAAAAAAAAAAAAAATCAAAAATCAAAGAAACTCAATTTAAAGGAATTAAGGTTTATCTACAGCTGCGTGAAGTAAGAAATTTCTCCGCGCAGGGGGCGCCACCGCTGTATTTTGATTTTTTGGTCCACGCTATTAGAGTCCGTACAACTCCACGTAAGTCCTTGAGCTTTTATGAAAGTTAGGGGAACTTCTGTTTAAATCGAAGAGTCATAGGTTCTAGCCATACCATTCTTCTTCCTATTGACACTAAAAACGAGGTAAAAAGAAACTTCTGAAGCTCTGAAATTTGATCCCAGAAAAAAGTAGGGTTAAGCATGATGACCTTGATGCAACCAATCGCGATTGATCCCTCTCAGCAGTTGCAGATATCTCTCTCCCACCATGAGCTGTCTCTCTCGCACTTACAGATGTCCCGTAAGAGAAACTGGGATCCAATTGTAGCTTTTATTATTAAACTTTCAAAGCTCGCGTTTGTGTATAAGGATTCCAGACGTATGCTGCTAGAACTTATGAGTCTTCGAATTTAAGATATCTGTTGTGATATTTAAATAATCACTGATTTCGGAGTCGGATTTTAGCAGCGCGACGTGGTGGATTTTTTCAGAACTACAGCTGAAGATTAACCTTAAAAATGAATTTATAAGAAAAATGTTCAATTTAACCTACCACATTGGCTGGTAATTTATGTCCAGGTAGGTATTTGACGTTTTCATGAGTAGAATTGATGATCTCTGTCAACTTCTTGCCATCAACCATTTCCTCAAAGACATACATATTAACTGTGTCTTCAAACGTGTCTAATCGAGCTGTGTTGGATCCGATAATTTTGGCAATAGCTGAACCCCTGTGGATGACACAAAAGAAGAAAGATAAAATCTTTATGACAAAAATACCTTACATTCTTCGAAATAGTATCGAGTTAGCCCAAAAGGTGTGAGAAAATAAATTTTGAGTTACGCAGTAGCTTTGGAATATGGTCCCCACAACTAGATAGATATAAACAACCAGTTCTAAAGAGGCAATTATGCAAGCGCATGTCTTACGGAGACTCATTCGTTTTGGGTTCCTCCCTGTGAGTTATAAGTGAGACTCAACGCTTAAAAGTCATACTGTTCCCTTTTCTCTAATGAATATTCATGAATTACGCATTGCCGCTCGCTGAAACCCACAAAAATTCACTTTGGTGACAAAAAAAAATGATATTGTTTGATAATTTTTAATTGTTATTTTTTTTTTAAAAAAAAAATAAAGTGTGCACTCAGATTACAGGAAATTTCCCAGCTTCTTAGGGTGATATCGACCCGCAAAAAGCGAGTTCAACGTTGCGTACTTCAAATTCCCACTAAATCGCGCATCGCCGAGAAAGCCAAGATAGCGTCCGAAAATATCTCCCGAAAAAGTTCGAACTGAAAATACTTTTTAATAGCATTGACGGAGCTGTGAAAGTGCGGCTGAGGCCGATTCGACGAGAAACAATGCGGGTATTGCCCAAGACTTCTTCGGCGATTTGTTTTTCCTGAAGCTGAGGCCTTGTTGTCTTGAGATTGCTTTTGTCCATTGACACCATAATAACAGCATAATTCATTTGACGATTTATTGCTTTATCCCGGAATAGTTGCAAACTTTCTTTTGAAATATTTTGCAGATTTTTTCGAGATTTGCTAAAAACCGTTCAAAATTTTTAATGTAAAATATTTAACCGTTTTCGAAATTCGTAGAAAAATGAGTTGTCCCGTAAAAATTAGAAATGTAATTTTAAATTGATCATGTCCATTTTGTTCATACTCTTTCAGAAATGTCTCATTATAGCAGAAAGCTACCGAATCGGAGATATTTTCGGTGGCAGGAAGCGACCCATTCGGAGAATTCTTCAGAGTAAGTTTGATCAGGGCCTGTTCAACGATAAATGCTGCTTCATAATTCATGTCACTCTGAGCTGTTGTTACGATGTAATGTCAGCCCATTGACAATATTCTGGCGCCGAAGTCCATAAGGGGCCGGAAGAACCCAAGAACATCAGTAGAAAATGTAATCGTGAAGAAGGGGTGTTCAACCGTGTTTCTCAAAACTGATCATGCAGACTTGAATCTCTATGAAAATGATTTAGGATTCAAAGCATAGGCTAGGTGAAAAAATAAACCAAGAGCGGGGGAGGGGAGCTGTCACCTGCAAAGTGAAGCTAACCCCCCCCCCCCCCCAGTCAAGAATACCCCCACCCTTAGCAATACTTATAAGGCGAGTAAAACGGTGAGCGTCGATTATGATCGAAGGAAATAATGGAGTACTAGCTGCTCCGGACGCCCTACGGGCGCCCTCCACAGCTAGCAATGGTGGTGCAGTACCTTAATTGGAATCGGAGCAATTAGTTGAATCTACTTAATAATGATGAATAAAATGTCTGTAACAATACGTGTTGTTAGCAATACGCAATACTGCAGTTAATTAGTCAGGGTCAGTCAAGCCGCAGAGAATAAGATGCCAGGATATCAAGAAGCTGTGAGGCGGAGCAGCCGAGGGATGGCAAAGGAATGTGGGTGGCGAGTGACGAACTGACGAACGACGATGCGACCCAAACTTCCTTCTTTGAGGTTGGTGGAGGAGAGCTATACGAAAGAAAACGGAGATAGCCGAAAGAACGTGGTGGGAGGGGTGGCTGAGACCCTAGAGGGGGTATCTAGGGACGGGCAAGCAGGTAGCGGCCGGATGACCGCTCAAAACAGCTGAACTTTACTCGTCGATAAAAGTAAGAAAATTTTAGAAAATCGAAAAAACAATTACAGCCTGCAAATCTACAGATCAGAAGCTTTCATTTAAAAAAAACCCCATGCAAATCGGTCCGGTGGTTCTCTCAAAGTTAATGTCCCAAAATGCGGACTTTAGTCTGAATAAATGGGAGAAAATTTGAGCCCAGCTAAACTTCACTCGTCGATAAAAGTAAGACAATTTGAGAAAATCGAAAAAACGATCACAGCCTGTAAATCTACAGATCACAGGCTTTCATTTAAAAAAAACCCCATGCAAATCGGCCCGGTGGTTCTCTCAAAGTTAACGTCCAAAGATTCGGACCTCCGTTTTAATGCATCGAAGACAATTTTAGAAAATTATGGGAGAAAATTTGAGAAAATCGAAAAAACGATCACAGCCTGCAAATCTACAGCTCAGGGGCTTTCATTTAAAAAAAATCCCATGCAAATCGGTCCGGTGGTTCTCTCAAAGTTAATGCCCCAAGATTCGGGACTTTGCATTTTAATATATAGGATAATCTTGGTCCTAAATATTTTGACTTGGACTTGTAATTAAAACGTTCGGAGTAGCTGGCCGAAGGGTTGATCAATTTAGAAAACATTTTGCGAAAACTTTAGGTCTCAGTTCCAAGTCAAAATATTTACGACCAAGATTATACTCCATTATTTCCTTCGATCATAATCTACGCTCACCGTTTTACTCACCCTATAAGTATTGCTAAGGGCGGGGGTATTCTTGACTGGTTGGGGGGGGGGGGGAGTTAGCTTTACTTTGCAGGTGACAGCTCCCCTCCCCCGCCCTTGGTTTATTTTTTCACTTAGCCTGTGCTTTGAATCCTAAATCATTTTCAAAGAGATTCAAGTCTTCATGATCAGTTTTGAGAAACATGGTTGAACACCCCTTCTTCACGATTACAATTTCTACTGATGTTCGGGGGTTCTTCCCGCCACTTATGGCCTTCGGCGCCAGAATGTTGTCAATGGGCTGACATTAAATCGTACCAACAGCTCAGAGTGACATGAATTATGAAGCAGCATTTATCGTTGAACAGGCCACTTACTCTGCAGAATTATCGTCAAAAATATGCCTCGAAATGATATTCTCGCAATTGGAGGGGGGGGGGGGGGGAGAGCACCGAGGGCTGTGGAAAAACGATAGAGAGGAGAGGTATATCGCTCCAAAATTTTACGAGGATTCAGAACATTTTGCTATTCGTGGTGCAACGACCAACCACTCTCGTGTTTTGGCCGGCAAAGCGATTTTGGGACACTTACACCCCCCCTCCACATTCCAAAACCGTCATGCTATTAATGAGGACTTTTCTGGGGGGACTCATGGGGTCGTAAGGACTTACTATGCCAAAAATCAGCTTATTATTAATTTTTTCCCTAACTTTCAGTGACTCACTCTGTGAGCGTGACAATGACACGCCCTGAAAGTCGCCTTTTCGAGTATGGAATTTTCGCGTTTATTTACATTTTTTCGTGATTATTTTTTTGGGTGAGGGGGAGGGGGTGGAAGAGGAGGGGGGAGGATAAACCCTTCTCCCCTCCCCCCCTCGTTAAATTATGTTAGTGTAAGCGTGTTAATGACAAACCCTGAAAGTCGTCGTACAAAGTGGAATTTTCGCGTTTAATTAACGTTTTTCGTGATTATTTTTTAGGGGGAGGGGGAGGGAGGAAGGTGTACCTCACTCCCCCCTATCACCTCCCACAAAAAGTCACTCTGATGTTCTCTCAGAACAAACGCCACTTGTTTTCATTTTGCCGCCCATTTTTGCGCATAACGCTACTTCAAGGAAGCGGCCAATCTTGACGGTTTTTATAGGGTGGGTGCTGCTGGGGGGACCCCCCTCCCCCCACACGAGGGGTTAGGCTGCCCCTCGTATGAAAAATTAATGCTCCATCATTTTAGGGATAAACAATTTTACGATATTACCAACCTTCTCCGCGTTATTGGCGAGAAATCGCGGCGACACGGTCATTTTCGCGGAAATTTGAGATTTTTTAACTTTTTGAGCCTCCCCATTTTGGGAGACCGCGGGTAATGGCGAAAGTCACTAAAGACTTTTCTACACCAAAATTTCACGAGCTTTTAGAATGGTTATGTGGAGTTTTGCCCTAAAATCAAGCCTTTTCGAGAAAAATGGGAAAATTCGCGGAAGTGTCGGAATTCTGAACAATTTTGGGGGGTTTAGGGGGGGCTTACTCCCCCCCCCCCCCACGATAGAATTCGCGTAGACAAAAAAAATCTTATTCTACTAGTCGAGAGCTTCAAGAAAATCACCATCTTCAAAATTCCCACGGGGGGGAGGGTTACCCCTTGCTGGCCCACGGTCTATTTAGGACTATTTCTATCTTAAAGGGGGGGGGGGGGGGGAGGGTTGCCCCTTGCTAGCCCACGGTCTATAATCTCTTCTTTTCGATGTGTAGAAAAATAATTTTGATTTTGTCAAGCTCAATTTTGCGTCCAACCCCTCCAATTCAAGATGGCGGCCTAAATGGGGGGTTGGGGGTTGAAGATGTTGGGAATTTGTTTTTGATGTCGTGTCTGGGGTCTATCACCATGTAATTTTGGTCGTAGAATCCGAATTTGAGGTCTAAAATTGTCTCCGGCTCAAAGGGATGTCCAAAATCCAAGATGGCCGCAAAAATTTCCACGATAGGGTCAAACCTCCGAGAGTTGCGTAAAAGTGCCGAATAAGATATCTTTCATAGGGTATTTTGGGTCGTACATTTCACCAATGAGGTCGGAATTTCACTACAGGTCTATTGAAGCCCAAAGATTCCAATATGGCGGCCAAATGGCTGCGGTTGCGGGGTGAAATATTTTGTTGAGTCTCGGATCGTCGAGTGAGGTGTCCCTGCGTGGGTTTTTTTGGGTCGTAAATTCCACAAACGAGATCCAAATACCCAAACAGGCCCACAGAAGTTCTCAAAGAACCAAAATGGTGGCCAACATGGCTGCCGCTCAGATAGTGAGAACGGTAGAGGTTACCTTTCCTTTCATACAATGATGAATTTTCGAGTATGTTATGTACTCCGCTGACTCCGGATGTTGTCCAGAATGTCAAGAAAATAAGTGAAGCGGATACGCATA